GCGCACCCCACGTACAGACCGGCTCCCGCTCACGGGCTGAGCGGGGCGCGGGGGCAACACCGAGGGTTGCAATCCCGTTGCCGGTCCCCAGTCCGGTACGGGGGCAACACTGAGGGTTGCGATCCGTTGCCGGACACGGAAAAAGACAGAAGACAAAAAAAAAACAAAAAAAAAAAAACAAGGGGCATTTTAGGTTGCGGTTCATTTCTTCCCTGTCATTCTAGTGGGTTCTTTTTCAGACGGAGGCACCCCAAGCTCTACTCTCTCAATCCTTGACCAAATGCGCCAGTCTGCGTGATGGCTTTGTCCAAGGCCCACACGCACGGCTTGCTTGACCAGCTCCAGGGCCCTGGGCAGGAGGCGAGAGTCAACCTCTCTGTCTGGTTGATCCTTCCTGACTCCCCCAGGGTTAGAGAACAAGAAAGAGGCTTCGGGACTTGTCTCCTCTAGGACAGAGTGTAGGACACAGCGCCAGAGCAAGGCACCGTGCCCCGACATCCCAGAGCTGGGACAGGAGCCTGTAGTGGGACATTCATCAGTATGGATGCCAGGTGGGCCCAGCTCCCTAGGCTGGCAGGAAATTCTAGGATGCAGCTACAGGCTTTGTTAAGATGTGTTCTCAGTGAAACAAAAAGACCCCGACTCGCCCTGCAGCCAGGGTTCTACTCGTGTTTTGGGGTGTCTGGGGCTTCCTTCCCACCCTTTTAAATAAAAGAAGCTGAGAAAGCTGTTAGCATCTGGGCACCAGAATAGTCTAACTGGGAAAAGGCCTAAAAGTCAGCAAGTCCCATCATTTTGCAGAGAGGACCACTGAGGTATGGAGCTACCAGGCACAGACAGGTACAGGCACTCGGAGGCACTGGGCATCGGGCCTCAGGTTTCTGGTTTCACTCAGTTTGGTAGCTGGAGCATCTGACTCTGCAGGGTCTCCTTGGAGGAACAATCTCACGTCCCAGTTCAGGGGGACGAGGGTGAGGTCGAGGGGCAGCCCTGCCCCTCCCCGTGCCTGGGAAGAAGACTTGCTCCTGTGGAATGGGGAGAAACTGCCTCCGTTCCAGAGAAAGCCTGGGAGATGCAGGGCAACCTCCAGTTCTAGAAGTAAGTTTCAGATTCAAGTGTCTGGTCGGGCCATAGAGACAAACACACCGTCCTATGAAAGAGGGGTCTTTAGAAACAGAAACAGAAAGCAATCGGAACCCTGGTCCTTGTTTTATTTGTTTGTTTCTGTGTATGCTCTGGGGTCAGGAATTGCCAGCAATATTGACAGGAAGAGAGGTGGCACAAGGAAGAACTAATTAAGAGGACTCTGGGAGAAGAGCAGGGACCCCCTCCTCCTTCACCACCCCAGGAAGGTAACCGGGACTGTTCACTAGACCACGGGGCCTACAGGCAGACTTCACACCAGCAGGTGCAGCAGGTGACCAGGAGCCAAGCAGTCGAGGGGACGAGGAAGAAACCCTGTGCTACAGAGATGCTGCATCTCGCAGAAGTGCCCCCGCCCAGGTTGGCTCGTGGCGTGAGCGGCCCCTCGGTGCAGGGGCTGCTTCCTCGGCATTTCCCAGCAAGGAAGCAGAGGGCTAGGATGGGTGCCTGAGGTGGGTGCCTATTTGCAAGGCTAAAACAAGTCTAAATTAAGCAGCTGCAGGATAGTCATTAGGTCCTTAAGTTACTGAGCTTGAACAAAAGCCTGGGAAGAGGTGGCAGGAGGAGCAGCTGCTGCTAAATCTATCTATATATCTGTCGTTCAATCAGCTCTCAATCCATCAATCATCTAACATCTGTCTCCATCATCTACCCACCTGCCGACCTACCTACCACCACCTCCTCATGGCGGGCACAGTGCTGGCCTGTGGTATGAATGACTTCTGGGAGTTCTCACAGTGGCCCCAGGGCGCAGAACTGCCTGCACCCTCCTTTGTAGAGGTGAGGCAGCAGCTGAAATGCATGACCGCAAACGCCCTGGGTGAGCTGTGCAGCTATCGGGTGGCACTTACTACAACGGCCTCCCCCAGACCGGGGTGCACACAGTCTGCAGTGTGTCAGAATCAGCGGGGTGCTGGCTATGCTGCCCCAGCCCCACCTGCAGACGCTCTGATTCAGCAGGGCTGCCTACACTCCCGGTGGGGAAAGAGCAGGACCTCCAGGGAGCTGTGAATCCTCTCCTTACAACCGAACCAATGGTTTTAGCCACCCAAGGGTGACCGTGTGAAAGACCCAAGATCTTAAGCCATCAGGTAAACTCGCCCAGCCACTAAGAAAAGGCTGAGCACAGAAGGGAAGGCTGGCTCTCCTGGGGAGGGGCGGTGCTGCTCGGAAAGGCCCCGCATGTCTCACCGTTTGGTACATTTCACCCCAAATTCCCATTTTGCTCCCTTGATTGGGAAATGTGGGGGGTTTCTCTTGGTTTTTCCCTGGTATACCCAGTCTGCACACCAGGGAGGAAAGACATTGCTTTTGGGGAAATAAATAACAAACCAACCAGCCAAAAAACCCACTGCTGGATACTTCAGAAGCCAAGGGAGACCCCCAAGGGGAAGGGTATGGGGGCCTGGAGAGAGAGGCGATGTGAACTCAGGGTCATTATGGGTAGAAACCCAAAGACTGTACCCAACGGAAATAATCATATAGCCCCATGATCACTAATAGAGCCTAAATCACTCACATTTCAACATTCGCACCAACTCCTACAATGTCAAATTGGAAAGAGGTGGTAGGGGCCACTGAGCCCAGGCCCCTCCTGAAGTCACCCGGCCCGTCACACTGATAGCACAACGCTGCAGAGAACCCCTCGTGTGACATCGCGAGGGTGCACACATCAAAACACAGTAGTTCCCAAACTCCCCACGTATCCTGCTGTCATCTGTTCAGGACTGGGGAACTTAAAACTATGTCCCGACTGAGGATACAGCATTTAAAACCGTCTAGAAGCAGGAACCTGTTAACACAACAGTATCGGGCTGGCACTATTTTCTTTCCCTTCACATGTTCTCTCCCTTTCACCTGAGAACGCTAGAGGTTTTTTAAAGTGTTTGTTCTTTTTCGATGTTTTAAGTTTATCATAAGGCATTTGGAGTGTGTGTCGGGGGCTGGGTGGGAGGATAAGGGGAACCCAGTTAGAACATCAGATAAAGCCTAAAGAAAACCTCTTAAGGCTAAATTACCCTAAAAAGTATACGATATAAAAATGAACAACCTTTGTGTTATACAACAGGTGGCGAGGTGGGCTGGCTAATCTTTATTAAGAAAACCTAAAAATGGGACTGGGATTTGAAATGTGCTATTTAAAAGTGGACTCGGACACTAACACGTTAAGATTTGTGGAAGTAATTAACCCGGAAGTTGATAGGGTAAATGGGTAATCAATCATGAATAGGAATCAGCCCACGCTGGGGGTCCCTCTCAGAACACGTGGACATGGGTGAGGACCTCATTTGCTCAGAGGTCCCCTCCTTCCACGCTGTTTGGGCGGGGGTCCTTTACTTGCTATGAAGGGCAAATCTTCTGTGATGTGACTGAATTGTTTCTTTTTTATTCAAATTGCAAATGATTCAGTATCTCAACAAGCTTCATCAGCCCTCATTCTCAACCTGGAGGAATCTGAGATGTATGTTTCCAGCCCTATTAAGCTTGTGTCTTAAACACTACACACATGTCTGGCACGCACACACATGCACACACACATGCACACACACACATCAGATGGTATGCAACATCCAACATCACCCTATTTTTTCCAGATGTACAACTCACTGGGGTCTGTGGACTGGCCTTTGCAAGGGGCATGGACAGGGACCAGCCCTAGGATGGGACACGCATGCACACACACACATCAGATGGTATGCAACATCTAACATCACCCTATTTTTTCCAGATGTACAACTCACTGGGGTCTGTGGACTGGCCTTTGCAAGGGGCATGGACAGGGACCAGCCCTAGGATGGGTGCTGGCACACACATGCACACACACATGCACACACACACATCAGATGGTATGCAACATCCAACATCACCCTATTTTTTCCAGATGTACAACTCACGGGGGTCTGTGGACTGGCCTTTGCAAGGGGCATGGACAGGGACCAGCCCTAGGATGGGTGCTGCCTACCCTGTCTCTCCAGGGAACCCTACCCAGGAGCCCTAATCCAGCCGTCACCTCGCTGAAGCCAGGCAGGCGCTGTCCGCGTCAGCACCACTCCCTAAGCCTGTGCGTGTGCAGGACGTGGGCCGTGCAGCGCCACGTCCCCGCAGGGTTCTGGGCCTACCTAGTTTTTGCATGCATGCACGGAGCCTTTCTTCAAGATTGGACACTCTGCTCTGAAGTTCATCGTAGTCATAGGCGCCAATTTCCTCTTGCAGCTCGTTAAGCACTGACGTCAGATTCTGGACCTCCTCTTTAAACTGCAATACCAATTTGGCATCGGCCTTGTACTCTTCCAACACAGGTATCAAAGGCCTAAGTTCATCCATTTTCGCTTTTATCGCCTGCAAGGTTAAAATAAGCTGGTTCAGTGCTATGCATGCAAGAACTCATAACACCCTGCCTCGGCCTGGCTTCTCCCTATTCGAGGGAAGATGTGCATACTCCTGCTTTATTTAGAGTTATTTATTCTGGTCCAAATGAGTTGGAAGAGCATATTAAACAGTCCTCAGAACACCAACATATTTGGGAAAGGTCTTTATTGTCAGTTTAGAATGCAACATCTTAAGGTTACATGCTTTAAGTCACATACACAAAGTTCTTTTTTTTCTTTCTTTTTCAAAAAATGCATTGACAAGGGTTCAAACTATTCATGAAATGCATCTACAGTCGCATGCAAAGGAGGATCCTGGTTGTATTCAAGGTTCCTTAGTGATATGGTGCTAAGGATTGGAAAATAATAGTAAAAATGCATGGTGCAAAAAGCTCTCTGGCTCTCTTTCATGGTTACAGGGAGTGGACTGCTTCTTCAGTCACTGCAGCATTGAAAAAACTCTTTTAAGTTAGCCCTGCAAGCAAGAAAATGAAATACTGTTGAGGAACTAGCTCACTAGCCTGCCTTAAACAGATAGCCATTAACAGACAAATACTTTCATGGTCACTTAAAAAAAGTCACACTTTAATGCTAGAGTTAGTCAAAACAAACTGCTTGAACAGATTCTCACAACAGTTTCTGCTGGAATTTTTTAACGTGGTGAAAGCAAGGTGAATGGCAAGGGCTGGCTTTTCCTCCCCCAGGGCTAGTGACCCCGAATTTGGGGACTCAGAGATGTGTGTGTGGGCAATGCTTGCAGGGTGAGCTGCCTGTGGTGAAAGCAAGGTGAATGGCAAGGGCTGGCTTTTCCTCCCCCAGGGCTGGTGACCCCGAATTTGGGGACTCAGAGATGTGTGTGTGGGCAATGCTTGCAGGGTGAGCTGCCTCACGACTACTGAACACACCCTGTCTCCAGAATCTGTCCACCACAGAGAAGGCAGTGCTGGCCCTTCAAGGAGAGACACCGACTCTGTTTGGTCAGACAAGTCACAATCTCTCTTCAAGATAATTCATGACGGCACGTCAGGAGCAAGGACAAAATGCCCACTTGCCTCCGACCAGAGCAATCAGCTCCTTTTCACCTCAACGGGATCAGGCCCACCATTATTTTATTTACAATACAGATTTATAACTTCATTAGCTTGCCATTTCGTCTATCTAATATATTGCTTTTAAAAGAGAATTAGTTCTTGCTTCATGCAGGGAGCACATCAAAGAAAAACATTAGCATAAAAAGGACGGGAAGACAGAGACAGAGCACATCAGCAGTTTTCAGCCAAGCGAGGCTGTGTAATTTGACCTCTCCCCCTACATCTGGGCTACATTTCTAATTAACATGCATGTATACCTTAATTAAGGTGGCCTATAATTTCTCGTTCTAATCGTTTTGAAGCTGAGTAAACCATAGGTGTACAATCATATAGACATACAGTTATATATACATATTTGCCCATATGTATACATAATTTTAGGTCCAACAAACTCCGGCTTTAACATCCAGAGTTACCCAGAGAAGCAGAACACTTAGGACAAGCTGAGAAAGATGCTGGTGTCTCTCTCTTTTTTCCCTGCAAGTCTACAGCATGCCTTGTCATAGCTAAATTAGGTCAGATGTGAAAAACTGCCCTGAGTGATCCCTGTTCAGAAATGTCTCTAATCAATTAAGCTAATCCTTGGCTAATGTGATTTACCTGCAGCAGCTGTGAAATGACAAGGGCCAATAATGATGTCCCTTCCCAGCTAATGTGCAACCTGGCCAGAGAAGCACGGGATCTGGGACCCCTGGCTTCCAAACCAGATTGATGGGGGCTTAGGAGCTAATGTGGGCTGAAACTGCTGCTCGAGCCTCCCTCGTTCAAGGTGTCTTTTTCCAAACCAGGCTCAGGCTGGGTTGGCTCTCTGCTTCCAAGGGCAGCAGTCCTTTGCAGGGCAAAAAGCAATCCTTCCTGTGCTCCTCCCAGCCCCAAGTCACTATTTCTGCAGGTAAAGGGAAAGCTAGAAGGGGAAACAAGCCCAGCCTCGGAGGAGGAAGGGGGCGGGAAGGAGGAGGGGGAAGCGGGGAAGGAGGAGGGGGAAGCGGGGAAGGAGGAGGGGGGAGCGGGGAAGGAGGAGGGGGAAGAGGGGAAGGAGGGAGCATACATACCTTGAACTGCCTGGCCAGGTGTTGCTTATGACTCTCCTCCACCTGTTTGAACTTGGACTCCAGTCCTTTCATTTGGTTCTCCATCTTCTCCACGTACTGCAAGTCCCTCTGAGTCCGCCTATCCAAGACCTCTATGGATTGAGACATGTTTTGCACCTGTCAAAAGGGCAACAGGTTGAGGGAAAGAGCTGTGGCAGGTGCCAGAGGATCCTGCCCCACACTGCTCGTGCCTGACACTGACCTCTCCCGCTCAGCTGCACACTGGGAACTGGAAGTGGCCCGTGCGCTACTGACTAATCACCAGCACCAAAGACTGTTAGGACCAGCAACTCCCCAAACAGAGCAAACTGGTTCAGTAACCTTTCCTCTGCCATCTTCCAAACGTGTTCTTACAATCAGGAATGCAAATCAGGTGTGCAGGTGTCTCCAGTTCCCCACTTGTTGTAGCTCCAGGCACAGGACCTTGGGTGATTTGCCTTTTTCTCTTTTTGGGGGTGAGGGGGTTGTTTCTAGTCTCTTTGTGTTGCAGGATGAAATCAGTCAGGCAGGCATCAATACGAACAGAGATGAACAGCACTGCTGGGCTGCCCCACCCCCAGGTATAAATCCTCCTTCCCCCTAAATCTCGCTGTGTCTTGCTGGGAAGGTTGATTGCTTAAGTGCAGAATGAAGGAATAAGGGAAGCCCGCTCCCTGATTCTGCATCCAGCCTGCTTTCCCATCTCACAGGCCATCCATCACACCCCACAATATCATAGGTAGATGACTGCTCTGCAAACATGCACATTCAGAACATAGAGTCAGGAATCAATCACCCGGCAAATGAAGAATTGCTGTTTTACATCTTTACAGGCAGATCTGAATTGAGTCTAGCCTCAAGATGCAAGTTTAATATTCAACAGGATTCCAGAGAGCTTAAAAGAAAAACAGCTTTAGTGCAGCCACCTGCCAGCGCATCTCATTTTCAGGAACTGGCTTGCGCTTCTGTATAAATGCACTCGGGGCTATGAGCAAGTGGAATGGAACCGAGGATTGCCGCGTGGTGTTGGGGGTCATTTTCTCAGAACCTAATCCAATTACTAGGGAGGAAGATATCTCCATAACAGCAAATCTTCATTTCTGATTTTTTGCAGAATTTGAAAATACTCTCCCTTCTAGGAACAGAATCATATGGGTATGAGGCTTAGGTTTGCCCGGTCAGTGATAAGAAGAGAGAACAGTGTGGTTTCCACCCCTTACTGTGCATCCTGCGCCCCAGCAAATAAGATAAAATAAGACAGCAACCGAAAGCCTTCTCAGTAAGAGGAAGGCCAATATTGCTTATGTCAGCACTTAAAGATGCATGGAATTTTATGACTTGTTATTTGAAAGTAATACACACAAATTCATTTTAAAATTTAAGTTTGTAAAACACATTATGGGGGTGACTTTGACTCTCTGATCCCTTATCTTTGGACATCCTGTGGGAAACAAATGCATTTATTTGCTCTTTTTCCTTTTCTCTCTCTGCTTCCCCTCGCCTGTCTTATTCCGTCACTTTGAATAACTGCAGCACATCTTTTGAGAAGAGTTGTAACGTTTGGTTTTATTCACCCTTCAAGGCCCCGCCGAATACCACCTCCTCCAGGGAGGCTTCCCTGATGAGCTAAGCTAGAATGGCTGCATACCATTTGGAAACCACATCACCACTTTGTTGGCACAATGCCTGTAGGCCACGTACCTGTCTCATCTACCTTGTGGGACAGGAAACACATGCAGGGAGGGAGACTGGGCCTTATCCACACCTGTAACCCCACACAAAGTCCAGGAGTGGCCCCTGCAGCCACAGGACTGGAGGAGGAAATGACCTACATGGAAGCTCCAGGAAGGACCCCTCCTCCCACTCGCCCCAGAGGGGATACAATTCGGGGATACGATTCCTGACAGCAAAGTCCACAGCAGTGAGGACTAAACTGTGCCACGGAGAAGCTGCTGAGCTCATGCTGGCTGCAGTCAGAAGACCACACACAGCATGTCGCTCCCCAGAGAAAAAATGCTTTTAACAAGTTTTAAATTTTAAAGATTAGGCTTTAAATTTAAAAGACAAATTTTAAAGATGCCAAGCTACTCAGCTGCCTTAAAACAAAATAAATACCATCCTATGGCTCTGCTAACCCTGAACGTGCACTTTCCTTTCTGGATGTTTACAAGGCGCAGGCACCGGTAAGCCTGTGACTGATAATGGTGTCTAGAGTCACAGTCACTGTCCCCAACCCTCCATCTGCAAGAAGATCACAGTCCATAGCGCCCTTCTCCAAGCACATGCATCCTCTTACCTGCAGGATGTGTGTCCAAGAAGCCAACCGGCATGCTCAAGGTCACAAAGCTACTAGTTAGCACAATCCACCCCATGCCCTGCCCAATGTGGCAGCAGGTGCTCAGAAGTGGGGGAGGGACATCAGAACACACAACAGACACACCTGGCCTCAGGAGAATGGCTAATTGCTAAAATCTATGGAACATTTTCAATGTTCCAGACTCTATGCTGAGCCTGTTATGTTATTTATCTTTGATCTTTACAAAACCCTGGGAAGCGAATAGTTTTGAGTCCCATTTTATACATATAGAGACCAAGGGTCGGAGAAGTTAAGGAACATGCCTACTGTCACAGAACCAGGGCAGCCAGTTCAAGGCTCAACTGATTCCAAAGACTCCACGCTTCAACGGAGAGCCATGCGCTTCCTCGGCGAGAACAGAGCCCGAGCCCCTCCCCCCCGTCCTGTGGTCCTCAGCCCCAGCTGCACTCCAGACCCCAGCAGAGCTTCCACAGCATCTTGACGCCCAGACCCGACCCAGGGACTCCAGCCTATGAGTGATTATCACAGCCTCCGGGGTGGGCCCTGGGACTCCAGACTTTTGCAGTCTCCGCAGCTGGGTTTTAACAAGAAGCCAGGCTGGAGAAACCCAGGACCAGTTGGAATATGCTCTAAGGCACACGATCTGCGGTTTCTGGAGCGCCCTCCCCTGCTCCTATCTCAGGATGGTGGTGCCCTGTCTGTGCCTCACCCCGCCCACCCACCTCCACACATGCACACGCACTCACACTCACACGCACGCACATGCACATGCACAGGCGAGAGGAGAAAAGAGGAGGAGGAAAGAAAGGAAGCACCATGTAGACCAAGGCAGGAGAGGAGTCAGGGAAGGAACGGCCCACCCGGCTTAAAAACACCGTGCAGAGAGCATTAGAGAGGGCAGCCCTCTCTCACGACCGATGGCTTGTCTCCTCTGAACAGAGAAGGCCCGCTCTGGAGTGAAATAGGGCTTTACACCTGTAAGCAGTAATGCTGTGTGGCGTGTACAGAGAGAAAGGGAAGCTCAAGGCCTGTACTCCCAGGGGCTCATAGAGCTTTCTGGAACCGATTTCCAACCCATGTGCCTTCCCATCAAGCGCCTCCCCGCAAGGGCTCCCAGGTCCAGCTCTGCAGGGCCGCCCTCCGCCCCCATGCCTGCAGCAGTCCCTCAGGCCTCTCCACGCTCTGCCCCTCGTCTACAATCCTGAATAATTAAAGGCTCAGTTAGGCTCTGGTCTAGTTTGGTGTTAATAAATGTTTGTGGAATCTGTCAAATGCATTTCACTTTAATTCTTTTAAAATGATTTACTCAGATTGGTTAAGGATGACAGGAAAAAAAAATCCACTCTACTCCTTCGAGGGAACAGGCTCTGAAGCAGGCCCTGGGCACCAGACGCTTCCTTCTTGCCCCTTCCAGACAGGCCCTGGAGCACAGGAACAGGCAGCAACTGGAGCCTTTGGATCCTGGCAGAGCTGCGAGGACCCTCTGCAATCTCTAGCCCACCCTCTCCACTGACAGTTGAAACTGAGTCCGAGAAAGGGGCCCTTTGCCCGTAGCTGTGCGAGGGTCTGTGGCTGAGCTGGCCTCGAACTGAAGCACTTTGACCCAGCTGGGGCCGTGCTGTCCTCCCACCCAGCTGCGTCCACCTTCCTCGGCGCAGGCAGCAAGAGGAGCGTCCCTACTCACAGCTCAGGGCCTGTCCCTAAGTCACAGAGCCCCTGACTCCACACAGACCTCCTCTTATACTCCTAAACTAATACCCATTTTGGAAAGTCCAAGGCCAATTTGCAAGAAAAGTCACATCTTTAATAGTGAGTGTATGTGTGTGTGCGTGTGTGTGCGCAGTGTGACCCCAAGTCACAGAGCCCCTGACTCCACACAGACCTCCTCTTATACTCCTAAACTAATACCCATTTTGGAAAGTCCAAGGCCAATTTGCAGGAAAAGTCACATCTTTAATAGTGAGTGTATGTGTGTGTGCGTGTGTGTGCGCAGTGTGACCCAGAAGCAGCCCTGACCACTGCTCCCCCTACCTCTAGGCTCCAGAAGGGAGGAGTTCAGAGGCAAGGAGGGAGGGGCGCAGAAGGCCAAGGCCGGGGGCTCGCCCGGAAGCCGGCGGTTCCTAGGGGCCCTCCCCAGCCCCTCTGCACCCTCTGTCCAGGGGACCCCGAAGGACCTTTGCATGGGGATGAGGAGAGGAGAGCGCCTGGGACTCTGGGAATGCAGGTGAGGGCAGGAGCTCCTGAGCCCACCTGGGCCTGGAACCCCACTCCAGGGCCGGGTGGAGTCCAGTCCGGCTTTTACAAAGCGCGGCGGGCTCAAAGTCCTGGCTGCACCCAGCCCAGACTGGGGTCCAGAAGAGTCTCCACCCCTTACTTGCTGAGTGACCTTGGACAAGTCCCCAAGTCTCCAGCCTCAGTTTCCTAGCCTTTTCGATGAGAGACTTATTACTGAACGAGGACTCCAGGCCTCTGAGCCCCTGAGTAGGTTCCCCCAGCCCCGCGAGGGGACCAGGTGAAGAAAGTGTCGCCCCGGGCGTGCCCGGGTGGGGGTGGGGGCCGCGGCAGGAGGGCCTGAGGCTGGGAGTCGGGGAGCAGGGTCACCCCCGTAGCGCGGAGAAGCCGGCTCGAAGCCCCCGCCCTTGCCCTGCGCCCTGCGCCCCGCCGCCTTCCGGGCGACTCGGTCCCGAGCCGCGCGCGCCCAGCCCGGGGCAGGGGACTGAGGACGGAGGAGGGGG